CAGGTGTAAAATTCACTAGTATGTTTGAGTTTGATAATGGGGTTCTGTTTGCTTCACCAAGAAAGGGATGTAGCACTCAGAAGAGAGACCATGTAATGATTTCATACAGATGGGAAAACATGATAGAACAGTACCAGACCTTTTTTGATGTTCTTGTTCATACACCTCCTGTTAATGTTAAGATATTGCGTGAAAAGAAGTTCTTGGATAAGTCAGCAGCTTCATTAAAGCTGCAAGTAGAAGAGTTAGGGAAGTTACTTACGGCACTAGAGGAAAATAGGAAAATGCTTATCAAATATGAATTACAAGAAGCAAGAAATAAAAACTGGCGTCATGAAAGAAGATTAAAGAGAAAGAGCAGGGTGAAGGTAGAGGATGGGTATCATGCCCATAATTGTCCTGAGTGTAACCAGACATGCATATTCCCCTGTCCATCTATGAAAGAAAACAATGCCAGCATGATTGGTGGAGTGGCAGGTGTTCTGGGTGGATCTGCTGCTGGTGCTGCAGCTGCACAAGCAACTGCTACAGCAGCAGCCAGAGCTGCTGCATCATCTGGGTATGCAGTGACTATTGGAAGCTGGGTAACCAGAGCCCTTGGAGGTGCTGCTGTAACTGCTAGTGAGGTTGGTGCTGTGGGAGGCATTCCTGGTGTTGTTGTAGGGGGCATGGTGGGTGTGACTATAGGTGCAGTTGCTGGGGCATGTTGTGGAAAGATGTTATCCGGTGCATCATGTATTCAACCTGGGCGGGGAGATGTGTGTGGAGAAAAAGGGTGTTTACACTCTCTGTCTGTACATGTAAAGGAAGATGAACGAATTATGGAATATGAGGATATAGAAATAGATATTGATGAATATTCCAAAGAACTCCATGACATAGCTGTTTCAAAAAAAAATGATGCTATGGCTAAAATTGTAAGTGGTGGCCAGAAAATTTTAGTTTGTAAGAAAATGGTAAGTCATTTTATGCTCAAATTGTTATTCCATGGCAAGACCGTATGCGAGTTGACTGAAGGTTTAGAAGTTGTTAATCCCATTGAAATCTTGGAAAAACTAATTGCTGAAGTTAGGTTAGGGAAACCTGATCACATCCATCATGCAATAGCTGTCCTTCAGGTAATGAAAAAGGCAGTAAAGACACTAGAGTCATGTCCAACCAAAGAAATTTGTGATCAGTGTGATGTGATAATGAGTTTGCTTGAATGTGTACCCTAGAATGCATCTTTCTTATTCATGGAATTTACTGTTATGTGGAATCTATTTTGAAAATCATATGAAGTTAAAACATAAAATATGAGTGTGAAATTTGTTTTTGAAATACATTTGATTTTAGATGTGTTTGTTTATGTGTGGGTTATTTCATGTGATTTGAACTTGTTACTTTTGTGTAAGTCTGAGTTTTCTATTTTCGTGTTTAAAAATGAACTGGTTATGTGTTACAAGGACTATTGTAGAACCTTCTATAAGATAAGTGGCTTCATCATAGGCAGTATTTAATCCTTAATGACAGTAGTAATTAGGCATATACTCAATAAGTAGAGACCTACTTCATTCCAAATTGAAGTATATAGATACTTGTAGGTATGAGTCTAGGGTTATGGTCTTGTAAATGCTTATTCTTATGCATTTTTACAGATGCAATAAATTGATACATATATATTTATATTCCTGTGCATACATATATGCACATACTCTTGTATGCATGCATGTGCTTGTTACATATATATTCAGAATATATATAATAATGAAGTGAAATATTTAATAAGGCAGCTGTAATATGTTGTAAGTGTATATGAAAAAAAAGAGGTTGAACTGAACAGAATGAGAGAGAGTTTGTGGATGAGAGTCAGAATGTGAAATGGAGTGTTTATGAAACTAATATTGACATTGATACTGCCATTAAGACCTGCACAGAAGATTATTGAGATATGAAAACCATTTATTTAGTATCTTTATTAACATATATATATATATTATTAACATGTTGGATCTGGGTGCCCTACAGCGTGTGTGGACCAAAACCCTGGCAATAGGATTCCTTGAGTCGTGGCTCTCCTAGGTGTGTTGTGTGAGGGCAGTCTTATGCAGTATCAAGACTGCTTTCCTCCTCTATGCAATGCTATTAGCCCCTTTTCTCTGCTGACACTTTTTTGCTCTATTGCCATTTTCTATATTTGCTATGCTGTAGCAAGAAGATAATACTTTTTTTATTGAGCACACTCCATATTATCTCACCAGGTAGTTTACATTCATTGCAATAGCAGTAACAATATGGTACATTGTTATTTTCTTTAAAATATTTTTGTATTTTTATATATTTTGTATTAAATTTTCTGTAACAGACCCTACACTGCGGGAACAGGCTTGGATAGGTTCCTGCACATGAATATAGTGTACTCTCATGAGACAACCTGGCTGACAAATGAACCAGTGGAAAGCTTGCAGAAAGTTGTGAGTGAGCCCCATCCTGACCTGCAGAGTCAGTCTCACTCCAGCTGATCTGTGTACTCATGATGAGACCTCCCTAATATCTGACACTTGGCAAAAAATTCCTGCGTCAAGATGTTACCGTCACCTGCCCCACAACTAGATTTTTTCTGCGACTTAATCTGCCTGTCACCTACTCATTGGCCAAATTTTATCCTTGATGAGATGTTCCTGCTTTTTTCATTGCGAAGTGTCTGTGTCACTTGAATCCAACAGGTTAATATGAGGTGTCACAACTGACAATATGTTTATATTTGACGATATGTTTAAATACATGTACGAATGTGCGCCCCCCCCCCCCACACACGTATATAAGTATCTATGTTTATGTATGTATGTATATACATGCATGTATATGTTTATTCATGTATATACATGCATATATAAGTATGTATGGTTATGTATGTATGTATATGTATGCATGTATGTGTGAATATATATATATTTATATATGTATGTATTTGTATAATTGTGAATATGGATATATATGTATAATTATGAGAATACAAGAAGAGAGACTTGTATTGTATTATGCTGCCTTACACACACCAAGAAAGAAATCTTGTGTAATTTCCTGTGACAGTTCATTGTAATATCTAGTTATCAGAAGCTTTATAAACGAGAAGTATTTGTGTAATATATACATTTTTCTGTGATAATAACATACACTTTGAAATTTCTTGGCATCCTCTCACTGTTAGTGAAATATATTATAATAGGTGATATTAGTTATCATACCTGCTATGTAGGTCCTTCAAATAGTATGTGTTTTTTTCATATATATTTCTTGTAAAACTATGCAAATGGCTTACTACTTAATGCAAATATACAAAAATATTTGGTTTTGCTGGCTTACTATATTAGAAAGAAAGAATAAACAAGTGTATGAATGGCTGTTTTAATTACCTAAGTGGAAGAGCAATAATGAAGGAAAATAAAGAAAATAAATTGAAATAAAAAAATACCCCAGACTAGAGGTCTGATGCATCTCTACACATAGAAATCAAATTAAATTAAATATACAGTCAGTAACTCAAATATACTCTTGGTTTTGAGAGAAAAAGAGGACACGTTTTGTTGTTTATTGAAAACATTACATTAAAGTTTATACCTTGCTTCATACTATACTATGTACATTAATGATTTTCTAGTATACATAAGCATAATTCAAGTATAAAATATTCTGTGCATTTCTTATCTACACTAAAAGTTGTTAATATAGCCCCATTTAGAAAGTATTTTAAATAAAGATGTTAACCTAACTGAAAGTTAAGATAAGTTTTGGTAAATATTTTTAATATTGTTTTTGACTGACAACAGAGTAGAAGAGCACAGTTATATCGTCTAAACTTTTTAAAAATTTCCATTAGTGCCAAATGACCTTGATGTCTAGCACATTTATTTGTTTAAACTATTAACCATTTTAACTTCTATTAATCTTAAGATAGTTCTAGAGTAACGTATGTATAATCCAATTTTTCCAACAAATTTTCTGAAAGTGGGGGGTGGTTATGGGGAACTTAAATACATAGAGACTACCTGCAATGATAGTTCTATGGAAATATGTATGGTGCGTAGAAAAAACACGTATAGGAGTTTTTTTATGCAGTGACATTGCAGTTGAAAGTATTTGGCAACCTTGGTTCCATGCAAATATCTTAAACAGAAACATGTGTGCAAACAGGCATGAACATTTGCACATGCACACACACACAAGCACATGCACACACATGCACATACTTTTATTCTCTCTTTCTCTTTCACATTTTCAAATACACATGTACACACGTCCATGCAAACACACACCAACACTTGCACATATTTATAAACAACTAATATTTACTTATGTAGTAAGATACAAAACATTATGAGGAACAATATATTGAACCTTAGATATACTGTTAATACATACTGTAGATAATTAGTCCTCTGAATGCATATTGTAGTTTCATTACTTTGAACAGCACAATTCATATAATGCTTAATACAACTTAAAAGTATGCAAGAAAGAGTTATTTAGAGCGCTGAAAGACATACATATTGTGTGATTGCACACAGTATGAAAAATACACATCTGCATACTTTCCCTAAATACTTTCGTTACTTGTAAATCATTGTCTCTCTTCTGAGTAATAGTGCAAGACAGCACACACTACAATAACAAAGTTATTTTCTATTACTTTTCTCATTTCTATTGTATCTCTTGATTGGTATTTTTGGGATTTTGTTTATCAAAGTAAAATAAAGTGTAAGTGCGTATTTTGAGTTTTAACTTTCAAAAGATGACATAATATTATAGTAATAACAGCCTTGCAATTCCAATCCTAAAACTTGATTACTGATATTTCACATGCTTTCTTTAGCTTCTTGAGTTTCAATATTTATCTTTGGGATATTACAACTATTAAAGTGATATATCCTTTCAAGGGTTGAAAGACATAATCAGGATTCTTTATGAGAGGAAATGAGAAAGGGAAAGGGAAAGGGAAAGGGAATGGAAGGGAAGGAAAGGGAAGGAAAAAGAAAAAAAAAACAAAAAAACAAACAAACAAACTCCCTCATACTTAACCACCAGAATACAGTAGGTGAAAACAGCATGGTCATGCATAGAACCTCTGGGACATGTGCAAATATGAGCTATGTTAATGCACAAAACTAAAGATATGTTTGACATCCAAGTGTTCATAAGGGCAAACTTACATCTTATGTTATGGGCAGAATCAATTATGACCCATTCAAGAAAGAGTTAGCAATGAAGCTAGAAAGTATTAAAGTGTGTGGTATAGTGTGATGTGTGTGCTCACATGCCTTAGTCTAAATTATAATTACCTCTCACAACTGTCTAAAGTGCTGTATAAGGTGGAAAAAATTAGAGTAACATAAACCTTAATTCTGAATGATTGGTTCTGCATATCTAAAATTTCAAAACTGACTTGTTTTCCTGATGTAATGAAAGAAACTGTTTTTTAACACATACATCTTTAATAATAATTACCTTCTGGGTACAAAAGAAAATTATACATAATAATGTATTCACTTTGCAAGCAATATACAGTATATGCATATGATTTTAGTATCTGCATTTGGTCTTGTAAAAAGAAAAGAAAGAAAAAAACAAAAAAACAAACAAACAAACTCCCTCATACTTAACCACCAGAATACAGTAGGTGAAAACAGCATGGTCATGCATAGAACCTCTGGGACATGTGCAAATATGAGCTATGTTAATGCACAAAACTAAAGATATGTTTGACATCCAAGTGTTCATAAGGGCAAACTTACATCTTATGTTATGGGCAGAATCAATTATGACCCATTCAAGAAAGAGTTAGCAATGAAGCTAGAAAGTATTAAAGTGTGTGGTATAGTGTGATGTGTGTGCTCACATGCCTTAGTCTAAATTATAATTACCTCTCACAACTGTCTAAAGTGCTGTATAAGGTGGAAAAAATTAGAGTAACATAAACCTTAATTCTGAATGATTGGTTCTGCATATCTAAAATTTCAAAACTGACTTGTTTTCCTGATGTAATGAAAGAAACTGTTTTTTAACACATACATCTTTAATAATAATTACCTTCTGGGTACAAAAGAAAATTATACATAATAATGTATTCACTTTGCAAGCAATATACAGTATATGCATATGATTTTAGTATCTGCATTTGGTCTTGTAAAAAGAAAAGAAAAAAAAAAAAAGAAAAGAAAAACAAACTCCCTCATACTTAACCACCAGAATATAGTAGGTGAAAACAGCATGGTCATGCATAGAACCTCTGGGACATGTGCAAATATGAGCAATGTTAATGCACAAAACTAAGGATATGTTTGACATCCAAGTGTTCATAAGGGCAAACTCACGTCTTCTGTTATGGGCAGAATCAATTATGACCCATTCAATAAAGAGTTAGCAATGAAGCTACAAAGTATTAAAGTGTAGTATTAAAGTGTGTGGTATAGTGTGATGTGTGTGCTCACATGCCTTAGTCTAAATTATAATTACCTTCTCACAACTGTCTAAAGTGCTGTATAGAGGTGGAAAAAATTAGAGTAACATAAATCTTAATTCTGAATGTTTGGTTCTGCATATCTAAAATTTCAAAACTGACTTGTTTTCCTGATGTAATTGAAAGAAACTGTTTTTTAACACATACATCTTAATAATAATTACCTTCTGGGTACAAAAGAAAATTATACATAATAATGTATTCACTTTGCAAGCAATATACAGTATATGCATATGATTTTATTATCTGCATTTGGTCTTGTAACGATATGTTTGACATCCAAGTGTTCATAAGGGCAAACTCACGTCTTCTGTTATGGGCAGAATCAATTATGACCCATTCAATAAAGAGTTAGCAATGAAGCTACAAAGTATTAAAGTGTAGTATTAAAGTGTGTGGTATAGTGTGATGTGTGTGCTCACATGCCTTAGTCTAAATTATAATTACCTCTCACAACTGTCTAAAGTGCTGTATAAGGTGGAAAAAATTAGAGTAACATAAATCTTAATTCTGAATGTTTGGTTCTGCATATCTAAAATTTCAAAACTGACTTGTTTTCCTGATGTAATGAAAGAAACTGTTTTTTAACACATACATCTTTAATAATAATTACCTTCTGGGTACAAAAGAAAATTATACATAATAATGTATTCACTTTGCAAGCAATATACAGTATATGCATATGATTTTAGTATCTGCATTTGGTCTTGTAAAAAGAAAAAGAAAAAAAAAGTTAGTCTTATCAATTTAATAAGCACCATATGATTACGAATTCCTTCTATATTCCTCATGGCACCCTTATACTCCTGTATAGAAGTGATTTGCATATATTTCCAAAATATCTGATTTCCTTTTGGATAGATTATTTTTGCAATTAATGAAAGCTTTAAAGGTTACATAAATTAATGTTAGTCTATGAGAAAAAATCCTATTGCATGTCATAAACAGAAGGAAAAAAAATACCTTTTACTAGTAAAGCTCATAACATCTTCTGTCCTTATATCATAACTTATGTTATCTTTTTTATTTTATTTTTTTTTTAATTTTCAGAAATAATTTTGTGTGTAAACACATGCTGAAAGACCTTAACTTACAGAGGAAACACACTTTAACAAAACCTAATGACTTTAAGAATTAACACATCTGTGCACATTTTTCTACATTCTTATTCATAATTAGCTTGAAAAGAAAATATGAACCCTACTGCTATGGAGTAAACAAATCGTCCCATGTTCTGCAAATGTCTATTGACTACTTAACCTGATTCTTCCTTCCATTCACTAACACATACACAAAATTAATCTGTTAACTAGTAAATCAGCAATCTCTCGTTATCGGCAAGACATCAAGCAGAACAGGACTGAATGACTACCAACAGTAAAGCGTATAAAAGCTAATCGTAATTCCTTAAAGGGGTATCCTGTCAGCGTCATTGGTCTTTCTGCTGCAAGAGGTCATATTAAGTGACCGCTTGTCCAGGCACCTAAGCTGGGAATTAGAAAGCTCAGGTTAAGAAAAGTTGTCTCATATTATCACCTTTGTAAGGCATGCAGTCAATGCTCAATTCACTTATTACTCAGTTTATGATAAGGTTGAGCTCAACCTTACGTTGCACCAAGCAATCACTGCAGTAAAGTTAAAATTTGCCTTTACACTTGCAAAATGTAATAATGTTAAGACTGGCCTTTACATCTGTATTATATAAATCAAAATGAACCACTCTGTAAAACTTTTTTTTTTTTGTTAATAATACATATCCATGGAGGCTTCTGTTTATAGTCCTAATAAACATAAATGGGCCAACAGGTAAGACACATTATATCTGGTACATATTTCAACCTATTTCAATATAGACAAATTATAATTCTTTCTTGTAGTTTCCAAAGACTGTTAAAAAGTCTTAAAAGGTCTGTAGTAGTAATAATAATAATAATAATAATAATAATAATAATAATAATAATAACAACAATAATGATGTTGATAGTACTACTAATAAAATTGATGACAACAGAGGAAGTTACATTAATAATCATATAAAATAATAATAGTAATAATGCAGATAACTTTGATGGTAACAATATTGCTTATCATAATTGCAATGCTTAAAACAGAATAGTAAAAAAACAATAAAATAAAAATCATAAAAATACTACTAATAATAAAAAAGTTAGAGTATTCTGAGAAATGTACAATGTAAAGTACATCACGTACTATATATCAGACAGGAAGAGAACAGTAGCCTAAGAATATCTAAAGGACAATTTTTATACAACTGTTTGTAGAGAGAGTCTCTGTTTGTACAAAAACTAACATATGAAGTGCATTATATATAGAAGAAAACAGAAGCCAAGGGTTTAAAAGGAAGAGTAGAAAAATAATAGTAACAGCATAATATAAATAAGCTATGGTAGGAAAAGATAAGGAAGTAATTTGTAATCGGCATAAAGAATATCCTATATATATAAAAAAAAAAAAAAAAAATCTCATTACTTTTAAAGAACTGAACAATATCCGCAATAAGAGTCTTCATTATGATTCTGATGCGAGACGTTGAAACTACCCTGAGATCTCTGGTCCATCTCCCATAAGCCTGGTGTTTGAATAATCTGTTGAAGAGAAAAATGAGAAGTTGATATAATGAGGACCGTGTCTAAAAAGAGTGAGGACTACCCTAAAGATATTCTCAGAAAAGCCGACCTGTAGAAACTAAATGATGCCTATATCTGCAACTATTAACCATTCATGGATGTTACACTATTTTTCAAAACTTGTTCACTCTTTTAACTCTGTTTATCAATGGCTTTGAAACTTGATGATTGCTATCTATTTTAAAACAAGTTCATATATATCAATAAAACTTGATATATATGAGTATTAGAATATCCCTATTTCTACAAACCTTCTGGACAAGTTCTTCAAAGGCACACTGCACACCATCCTTTGTTTTGGCGGAGGCTTCAATAAAAAGCATTGCATGGCGTCGGGCAAACTTAAGGCCTTCCTCTCTACTAACTTCAACCTTCTCCTGTAAAAATTCACAAAAAGTTAGTAAAACACACACAAAACTCAGTACATAGCAGATCAATGCAATTTTCAAAAATGACCTCTGATCATCAAGATCCTCAACATTCAAATTATTTACATTACCTTGTCAATCTTGTTGCCCACGAGCATCTTTACAATCTCTGTCTTGGTTGAATAAGTGTCGAGTTCATTGAGCCACATATCTAACTTGGTAAAGGAGTTCCTATTGGTGACATCATACACAAGGATAACACCCTGGGCTCCTCGGTAGTAGCTGGGCGTTAAAGTTCTAAACCTTTCTTGACCTGCTGTGTCCTGTTGCGTAGGGTTGCAAAAGTATATTGTCATTAATATATCATGACTCACTACAGACTCCAATTTCATGGAGGAATATATTATTGATCCATTCGATTATAAAATAATAATAAGTTTTATTACACAATTCCTCTAATGGCATGCATTTCATTAATCTCAAAATGACATGTATTTCACAAATGAACATTCATAAGCAATTTCAATCAATGACATTATGAAATCTGATCAGATTTTTTCAAATAACAAGATACTATCCCATCTATTTTGATCTTATAAACTTACCCAAATTGCTAACTTTGTAACATTTCCATCTACACTGATTGTCTTAACCTTAAAGTCAACACCAATAGTCGCACTTTGCTCTGGGTCAAAAGTGTCGTCTGTGAACCGAAGTAATAAGCTGAAAAAAGAGAGACCTTTTTTAATAGGAATCATTTAAGTAAAATTCAAAACCTTTCAGATCATTACAAAGAAAATATTTATACATACACACATACATATGCACACACCTCCATTCACCCATCATATATATATTGTATATATATATATATATATATATATATATATATATATATATATATATATATATATATATATATATATATATATATATATATATATATGTGTGTGTGTGTGAGTACTGCACATAATTTTTTTTTTTTTATGTATGTATGTATGTATGTATGTATGTATGTATGTATGTATGTATGTATGTATGTATATATATAAATAAATAAATAAATAAATAAGTAAATAAATAAATAACAATAAATAAATAACAATAAATAAATGTGTGTGGGGGGACTATTAGCCTATGTATAGAGAAAATAATCGATAGTAAGACAGATCTAACTGAGAGGTGAGGGATGTGAGAACAGGTGCAACAGGAGAGGAGTGACTGGGCCGATAATGGCTCAGTCATGCAGCTGTATTCCTAAATAAATTACCCTAAACCTAGCATGCTGTGTTTAACTTAGCCATCCTACATAACTTGATTTGGAATGATAGTGGGATGAGAAGAGCTGGCAAGCTTTATTGAACAAATGTCATCAATGATTACAGTGCTCAGGAATGCCTTGCGTGAGCTGACTGAAAAGTCCTTGACCTGAGCACAACAATGAATACTGACAACAGCTGCAAAGCAAGGATCTGTAGAGCCCTGGCACAGATAAGGGCAGGCTGATGAATATACTGTCTCCAACCTTGAGTGCAGCCTCAACAAACATGAGATCAAGACTAGATTGCTCCTAGAGAGAGAGAGAAAGAGAGGAGTGGGAGAGGGAGAAGGAGAGAGAGAGAGAGAGAGAGAGAGAGAGAGAGAGAGAGAGAGAGAGAGAGAGAGAGAGAGAGAGAGAGAGAGAGAGAGAGAAGGAGAGAGAAGGAGAGAGAAGGAGAGAGAAGGAGAGAGAAGGAGAGAGAAGGAGAGAGAAGGAGAGAGAAGGAGAGAGAAGGAGAGAGAAGGAGAGAGAAGGAGAGAGAAGGAGAGAGAAGGAAAGAGAAGGAAAGAGAAGGAAAGAGAAGGAAAGAGAGGGAGAGGGAGAGAGAGGGAGAGGGAGAGAGAGGGAGAGGGAGAGAGAGGGAGAGGGAGAGAGAGGGAGAGGGAGAGAGAGACAGAGGGAGAGAGAGACAGAGGGAGGGAGAGACAGAGGGAGGGAGAGGGAGAGAGAGAAGGAGAGGGAGAGGGAGAGGGAGAGGGAGAGAGAGAGAGAGGGAGAGAGGGAGAGAGGGAGAGAGAGAGAGAGAGAGAGGGAGAGAGGGAGGGAGAGAGGGAAAGAAGGAGGGAGAGAGGGAGGGAGGGAGAGAGGGAGGGAGGGAGAGAGGGAGAGGGAGAGAGAGAGAGGGAGAGAGATGGAGAGAGAGAGGGAGAGAGGGAGGGAGGGAGGGAGGGAGGGGGAGAGAGAGAGAGAGAGAGAGAGAGAGAGAGAGAGAGAGAGAGAGAGAGAGAGAGAGAGAGAGAGAGAGGGAGAGAGAGAGGGAGAGAGAGAGAGAGAGAGAGAGAGAGAGAGAGAGAGAGAGAGAGAGAGAGAGAGAGAGAGAGAGAGAGAGAGAGAGAGAGAGAGAGAGAGAGAGAGAGAGAGAGAGAGAGAGAGAGAGAGAGAGAGAGAGAGAGAGAGAGAGAGAGAGAGAGAGAGAGAGAGAGAGAGAGGAGAGAGAGAGAGAGAGAGAGAGAGAGAGAGAGAGAGAGAGAGAGAGAGAGAGAGAGAGAGAGAGAGAGAGAGAGAGAGAGAGAGAGAGAGAGAGAGCGAGAGAGAGAGAGAGAGAGAGAGAGAGAGAGAGAGAGAGAGAGAGAGAGAGAGAGAGAGAGAGAGAGAGAGAGCGAGAGAGAGAGAGAGAGAGAGAGAGAGAGAGAGAGAGAGAGAGAGAGAGAGAGAGAGAGAGAGAGAAGAGAGAGAGAGAGAGAGAGAGAGAGAGAGAGAGAGAGAGAGAGAGAGAGAGAGAGAGAGAGAGAGAGCCATCCAAATGTGGAGCCAGCAACAACAGACAAAAGGAATGAAGGAAGGCCCAGGAGAACAAAGCATATATTGGATTACTTACAAGACTATTTGTAATGTTAATAAATTCTGGCACAGGTACATTTTGTTAAGAAGAAAAAGTATACCAATGTTGAATTTAAAAATGTATACATTAATTATGTTTCAATATGGGATGTGTAGCCTATAATGTA